CTCATATTAACAAGGTCTGTGTGAGGTGTTGAATAGCTGTTTTAATGCTACCATGCATGTAATCCCAGGGGAAGGGGTTACATGAAGAGGATGTGGAACTTATGGCTTTGGTAACACCAAACATCTAGACTAAGGGTGAGACTAGTAGCTCAATGTTCCAACATCCAGAAGAAGCAACTGCTATCACAACTAGAGATTGATGAGGTACAACACAAATGCTACAGCAAAGGGAACCCAGGACATCAGCTCAAGGGTTGAGAAATCAACATCCCCACCCTCCAAGATTGGTTACCAAGCTCTAAGAACAACTGGTGGGTTGCTGTTGAATGCAAGAGCAGCTGACCTGAAGTTTATGACTAAGCTGGAAACTTGGATCCTCAGTGGCTGATTACCAAGCCTACGTAAAGTACCTGATGAAAGTCTACCAGAAGATGTGAATGCAGCATTACGGTCAACGGCCACTGTCACAATGTATTTGGCTATATGGTAATTAATACCACCCAAAAAAAAAAAAAAAGTCACTGGCTACCCTCTGCCACCCCTGCAGGCCACCGCCAGATCCTTCTGTCTCAGGAAAAGCAGGGCCCTCACAGGTGACTCCTTGCACCCGTTCACCACTTGTGTGAACCGTCTGGTCAGCACCTCAGGTCAATCAGGCTCCAGACTCACTAACAGCTTCTTCACCTGGACTGTTAACAAATACTAGCCCCACTCACCTCACCAATCTGAGCCACAGTCTGAGTAACGCTCATCACTCAGGCCACTCGCATACAATCTATACTCAGACGAAGTCCTTTGCACTGTTTCCAAGAACTTTGTTCAAGAAGTTTGTCTACATTTCTCCTGTTTGTCATTTATTCCTAATGTCTTATTATTTTATTCCTGCAGGGTTGGTGTGGAACACCCATAATTTCATTTTACATGTACATTGACAATAAAGGGCTATTCTAGTCCATCCTATGATGAACAGCCACAAAGAACAGTGTCCTCAGTGGAGATGGAGCATGAAGGGAAGTAAGCTAACTGTCGGAACTGCAGGAAGGTGCAATGTAAAAAGCGGGGCCTAAGAACTGTCCACACCTGTGGCCTTAGAAACTGCTAAACCTTGGCTACCAGCTCGAAAAGGTACACCAGAGAGACAGAAGCAGTAAGAGCCTCACCAAGGCTGAAGATTGAGCAACATTGGGAGAAGGATGCAACACATAACAACAATTCTCAGCGATTAGTAGAGCTCAGCATACCGTAGCAACATTACTGAACAGGATCCAAGAACGTCTCAAGTATGAAGAGTTTGGACAGGACCAGGTCCTGACATGACTCACACCTACTCAATAAAAACACTGCCCTAAGTCGAAGACTCAGTGAAAGAAGATGCATACTTACTGTGATGGACTGAAGTCTGCACTCTGGCCTTGTAGCCCTAAAATCTGGTTCCAGGGCTCAGGCTTTCTCCTCTGTCGACATACCCCGAGGTCCGTGTCCAGAGAAACGCTCACCAGGCCGGCTGGTTCCTTGCACACAGCTGCACAGCTGCCCGTTTGGAATGAGTACCTATCTTCATTCAGCTGGCACAGTGGCAGTCCCTTTCAAATAACAACAGTGATTTGTCTTTTAGAAAAAAAAACAAAAAAAAAAAACAAAAAACAACACAACTTTGACTACACAAACTAAAGCTCTTTAAACACACTTACAGGTCTATAGCAGGCCTTCTGATCATTTGTTTTTTGTGTGACGGGGCTGCTGCAAGCTGCACTGAAGCCACCAGGCATGTGAGCCTGCCCAAACAGCTTTTCTTGATGCT